AATATGTTTTATGTTTTTTGTGGGTTTCAACAGGAGTCTATCACTATACTGATGTTTTCTCATTTTCCTTTTTTTTCTTCTTAATGAAGTCATGGGAATGACTATTGGTGCCGCAAGCGGGTGTCCACAACCATAGGCGCCAGGAATCGATCGGAGATGCCACGGCCGCTTCGAGACAATCCGCGCTTCAATGTTGAACAGAGATGGCCACGGTCCTTTGTGACAGAACGAGAGAACGAAGCAGCGGAAGTGTTGCAGAAACTTGCCGGCTCTCAGATTCTGGGTCGACCAAAAGCACTGGTGCTACCTCACTTGGAATTCCAAAGCCTTTGAAGTTCCCCACTGAGAACCAGGGGGGTCTTTTAACCACCTTTGGTGGAAAAATGATCGACCCCCTTGTAGTGAAGGATTCCTTTTTGAGGGGGTCGCCGATTTTCTCACAAAAGGTGGCAAAAAGACCCCCCTGCTGAGAACTGGGCGGTTTTAGTGGCACATGACGGGCTTGGGGGATTTGTTTGGGTCAACCACTCAGTGATTGAGCACAAGATGGAGTGCCCACGAGGAAATCGAATTTCACTTTGCCAGTTTCGACAACTTTGAAGTCGATTTGGGGATGGCTTGTTTTTTCGAGCGTACCCATTTTGGGTCTTAGAGGCCATCAAATTGGAACCAATCCCCCCCACCCCCCCGATGCAGAGACAAGCCCATTTGGGAATTTGGCTTTGTCTCTGTTTCAAGCAATTTATTTCGCACGTGCAACTTGTTTGCGACACCAGACCGTTGTGTGTCATTTGCGAGCCTTAGAAAAGCCATGTCAATGTTGTTGCAGATGATGCAGTTGTTCGCGTGACGACGACAATGGTGCCTCCTGGATTGCACGCCTTTTTGTTGCAGCGGTGCTCTGTATCTTGGTTGCTAGTCCTGCAAGGTTTAAAGTGGCAGCGTGCCGATCGATTTGCATTTGACAATGATGGAGTGGAGCGGATGTTCTCTGCGGTGAACGCAAACATTTGGTGGGGGTAGAGCGGGCGTTCCTGCCGGGCAGTGAATGCACGACTGAGCAGAAAGCCATAGCCAGGGGAAAGCTGGGTAAAGTCAAATAGTCGCAGATGGCACGGCTTTTACCGTAGTCTTTTCCAACTTATCACAGTATCACGGGATAACATTATCTCCCAAATCTTGGTTGGCAGACCATAGGTCAGTTTGGCAGAACATAGATGATAGACTCAGCTGATCCTTTCAGTTTGGTTTCATCTTTCCACTTCATGGGACGTTTTCAGTTTGACTGAACATCCACGTTTCTTCGAGTTTCAGTTTGGTGCAAGATGGCTCAGAAGTTTCATCCAATGGCCGGCGAATCCGGTCTATTTTGTCATTTGTTTAAGCCTTCCCCTTGTTGACCTCAAATCAGATGCCTGTTTCAGCTTGGTGTCCACACTGGTCTTACAGAGCTTCCTTTCCCCTTAAGCGCAGTTTTAAACATATCGATGACCCATTAGGGGGCCAAATCAAGTTAGTTTCTGGGGTGATGTGAAGGGACATGTAGATTTCCTGGTTGAGTTTCTGCTTGGTTGGCACAACCCAAAGTGCGAAAAATGCAAACTCAAGCAGGTTTGCTGCTATGTTTGGTACTCTCCCCACGGCACTGGAAGCTTCCAGGACCCCTTTGGAAGACCAGAGGTTCCATGTACAGAGGCTTCCGGCTGAGGGAGTCGCCTTGTTTTTCCAGTTCTCTTGGGACTTTCGTTTAGTTTGGTTTCACTTTCCGGCGGTGCGCCCTGCGCCTGAGGCCTCTTCGGCTCTCCCGAGGGCTCGCCCAACCCCATCCCCAATGCGCCGCCGGACGAGTCGGGGGGCGGGGGGGGGATGGGGTGGGGTTTGGTGATGGGTCTGTTGGGGTTGGCTTCATGGAAGTTATATCGTCCATCCTGGCATCCAAGGCCAGATGGGACTTCCAGTGGCAAAATAGGGCAGGATTCGGACCAAAGCACCGATGCCCGGTTTTAGACAAGGGGTATGTTGGGCTTGCTATTTGTGGCAGATCACCCCCTTGGGCTTTCCAAAAGAGCGTGTCCGCTCCATGGTAACATGTTGAGGGGTTGGCCCGAGCAAATGATTCCTAACATTGGAGGAAAGGCGAGCCAAAGCCCTTTGGTCTTTGCAGTGGCGAAGCTGGCTTCCAGAAGTGTTCGCAGAAAACCGAATCGGAGCCTTGAACCAGTTTGCCGACAGGGACCGTCCCTCCAAGACTTGCAGGAGCATACAACGCCATGTAACACCTATCATTATGAGGTGACAAAATGAATACGGGGCAACCCAATTCCCCAACAAAACTTGAGGGGGGGGAACCCCCGAATCTCCCACGCCCTGTGGTGAAGCAAGTAGTTTTGTCCGGGCTCATGGTGGACTTCTGTGGTGGCTCCTTAAAGCTCTGGCTTGATTAATGGCCCCCCAAAGGTTAACCTTGTTGAAGTGCAATGGACCCGATCTTTGCCTCTGCAGGCTTTGCTGTTGTGTCGAGGAGACGGTGCAATTGGGGCCGGTGCCAGGGGTCCCTGACAACTGTGTTGCTGAGGTGTTCGCCATCTGGCGCGCCTTCGCTGGCGCCACCGGCCCGGTCAATGCGTCGGACTCTTGGTCGGCTGTGCAGGTGTGGCCCTCGGTGCAAGACCAGGACGTGCAATGACAGGACACTGGTGGAAGCAGATCTTGGAGCTGTGGCAGCAAAGGCACCGCTCGTGGGGCAACGATGCCTTGGTCCTTTGGTGGGTTCGTGCCCACGCCGCTGACGATGCTGCCGCCACTTGCAGCACGGTGCTGCCTGAGGACGTCAGTTCCATGCTGCAGCTGACCGCGCCACAATTTTGGCTGCTCGTGATGCTCAGCCAGTTCCGGACACGTTATCGTCTTCTTCCTGCGCACCGGCTGCCTGTTGAGGAGGTGGTGGATCCGGGGGATGGGGAGGTTGTTCAGCTGGAGGAACTTGTCCGGAGGCTATGCTGGCCAACTTTGCCTTGGAGCTGCCGATGGATCCGCCCAGGAAATGGGCTTACAGTGCCGCGATGTGGGCAGCAGACGTTTTTCACCGATTTGCAGTGGGAAACGCGCGAGACCTTCGCGACCGCCTTTTTGGAAATCGCGCTGCTGTGGCATGTTTGCACGGGGTTGGTCCCCCCTGCCGCGCCGATGGCTGCTCTTTTCCATACGGGTAGTGGGAGGCCTTGGCGGACGTCTTGGGTTCTGGGACCGCAAGGTCGTGAAGAACTTTTGTGGGTGTGCGGCCCATTCTCAAGGATGGGGAATTGTGTCGGTGTTTCGCGCTTCTTTAGGTCAGGTGTCACTCGTGTGGGTGTGGGGCGAGAAGCCCCTTGCTCGCTGGCGCGACTCGTGCCATGTGCGGACAAAGTTTAACCTTGACGTTCGCGTTTGTTTTTAGCCACCATGTTGACATAATTTTCCGGTTGATTGACGAGGAAGCTGGGTGTTGAATCTTTTTGGTGACTTGGATCTTGAAGCTGTCTTCCTTTAAAGGGAACCAGGGGCTACCGCAGTATGTCAGCCTTCAAAGGGAACCAGGCATAAGGCATAGGCCTTCTACCCAATTTTCTAGGGGTTGATTCCCCATTCTTTTCAACAATCGTTCTTTTCAAGGACCGATCGCTGTGTCCCTGGGTTTTGGATGGTTTCCTGAAAAGATCCGGGTCCCTAGAAAGAATGGAATTGGAAGGTACCCTGGCAGCCAGTTTGCTTTCGGCTCGGCACCAGGAGAACGGTGTCCACTACCTGACCAACGGCCGCATGTATCCTCCCTGGCCTCAAGGCATGCAGGACCGGAGCGCCCTTCAACTAGGTCCCCCAGCATGGAGGGTTCCCTACTAAAATGGACTACAGAAAAATGGGTACCCTTTTTCTAACAAGCGGCGGGTTCCCACTTTGCCCGCTGTGAAAGGCTTCCCCACGTCACCAAACCTTTGGTGGATTTTGCTTGGATGTTAGGACTTTAACTTTTGCCAACTCATGGGGTTGTCCACTAAACCACTAAGAATTAAACTTTTGGTAGGGGAGCAGAAAGCAACCTGTATTCCTTCCTTCTCTTACACATGTCCTTCCCAGCTTTCATATGGTGGACATGTGTGAGAGATAAGGAAGGGATAGGTGAGGGAAAGGAGTGGATATCCAAGGATGTCTTTCACCATCACTCACCTCTAGAAATTCAAGCAGTGGGTTCCCGCCTCGCCCTCTGTGCAAGGTTTCCCCACATCACCAAAAGGACGCCCCTGTTGGTATTCGTTTTTTCCCGGCCACTCTGAGCAAAAGGCTTCTACGGGAACCTCTCGATTCGTTTGTGGTGTTTTTTTTGCGCAACGACAACGGTGATGAACTCGTACACGCCCATTTGTGAGCATTGCCATGCACAGTGACACCTAAGGATGAATGTGTACATATGGGGGTTGATCAATATTCCTTGCCCCCGAATTCCACGGTCCCATTGCCAATAGCAAATCTTAAGTGGCTCCCCCCGCACCCCATGTGCGGAGGACGAAACCCTGCACCACCTAAAAAAACCCAGGGGTGATGCTTCCCTTGTGAATACCAACAAACAATGGTTTGTTATGGTTTGAAGGTGGTGCAGGATTTCGTCCACCCACAGTATGTCTTCCTACGCAGTACGCATATCGACTCGCTTCGCCCCCAGGAGGCGATGTTTGGCATGGGCTGCTTCTGGTGCCGGGGGGCCAATTCGAATTGGCCAACCAGCTGTTGTGTCAAATGCCAAAAGGGGAACCAGCAGCAAGGAATACCGAAATTGAATGTGGGGTCCGTTAAAACCCTAATGAATGATGGTGTCTAATCATTTAGCCGTATATGCCTTATAAAGGCCTCCGGTATTCAACACAACAACAGAACAAAAAGAAACACACACACACACACAACCTGACTGGGCCAAGCCGAACCGACGCCGACAAACCATTGACAGAGCCCAGCAAAGCGAACTAATCAAACCAACGGAATTACATCAAACCGGCCGAAAGGAGGGAAACCAGTCGACTAGCACCTGACTAAATACAAATTATGGGGTGGTTTGAAATAGGGCACTTCCACGGCTGGCGCCTCACTTGGCGGCACCTCAGAAACTTCTGCCGGCGCCGAGCCCCGCCGCGGCCGCTGATTTGGGCTGAATCCGGCTCCACGTGCCGTCATCATTCCACCTCCATGGTGGGTCCTGAGCTGATAAAGAACACACACCCATATGTTCTAGGTTTCCCAGCAGTGCCCTTTTACCCTTTTTTGGAGGGCTCCCCAACTAAAACAGACTACACAAAAAAGGGTAGTCTTATTCTAACCTCTCTACTGGAGGACCCAGTGTTGCTTTAGGGAGGACGTTGGAGTCCAGCCCAAATGGTCGCATGCGTTCGAACTCGAACTCGTTTTTGTTGCCAAAGGGTGCCTCCACCATCGGCGACCGCCAGGGCGCTTTCCTTTGCAATGCACCTGGAGTCTGATTCTGGCCCGAATCATACATGGGGTCATCAACGACCCGAAAGAAAGGGGTCACCACTTTTGAAGGGTCAGAAACAAGCTCCAGGTTCTTCAGTTTCCACAAAACCGGGTGGAATTTTCAATTCAACAGTTTCTTGATGCCCCCCAAAAAAGCTCCCTGTCAGTCACTGTGGCTTGGCGTAGACTCCCCAGTAGGCCCCAAGGGCCTCGTGGTTGGGGGGCGAAACACGAAACGCCAGCGATGCAACCCCAGGCAATCGACCCAGGGCTTCGCCCACAAACAAGACCTTTCTAAACAGCCCCTCTTCTCAACTGAAACACATGGCCAAATCGGGGAGATTGAACAAACCCCACGCCTTTTCAAGCCCAAAGAGCTCTTCGTGTTTTTTGTTTCTCCCCTTTTTTTCCGTGGCTCCGCTCGGCTTTTTGGGTGATCTCCGCTCGGCTTTCCGCGGGAAAGGCTCGAAGCTCCGACTCGCAGCTCGCGCCGGGCTCTGAGGCTCCGAGAACATCTTCATGCGAGTGCCGGGGGTGTACTCCACCCAGGCGATGGGTTGCGCGGCTCGCCGGGCCTCGGTGCATCGGTCAGGAGGCGGACCACCAAAAATGGGGTCAGCAAAAGACTCAACGAATCCCAAACCCACATGAATGGACAAGCAAGTAGGGCAAGTAGGGTTTTTGAAAAGGACAATTGTAAACACATATCCAGATGCCACGTCAAGGGTTTCCCTTGAAGTATAGGGATGCGTGTCATTAATGGCATTTCGGTGTCCTTGGCGTCCGCGACTTTGAGAAGCTCCGGTTGTGGGGGTTAATCAATATTCCATTTAGGCCCCCCAAAACGACCATGCGAAAAGTTACCCATTTGGTGGTGAAAGTCATCTTGTTTGGTTTCATCAATGGCAACCCCATGTAAAGGACGATTTGATCACCCCCCTGACGTGCTTTTGCTGCGAACAAACTCCGAACTTCCGCAAGTGGATTTGGACCATTGCGTGAAACTAAGATCGGTTGCACCCTCCCACCAGTTGATTAGCATGGAAATCACCGAAGGTGCCTTTGAGAGGCAAATGTTCGTTCAGCCCCTCCAGCTTCTCCGTCCGTTCGACAACTTGAGTGGGTGCGACGGTAGCACGTTTGCCCTTTGGTCATCAAACGTGGCTGGCTTGAAAGCCAGCCATTTATGGATGTGCTGCGGGAAAGTATCCAGCAATCAGATGTTTAATCTGTGTCCATGTTGATTTCCGCAGGGTACCTGGAAGATGTAAGAAGACCTGCAAGGTGGGTGCCATGTCTTTGCAGCTCCATAGTGTTCTGTCTATGCTGAAGATATGGTTGAATTCATAGCTCATACCAAAGGCGCAAGACGTGGCTCAGGTGGCTCAAGCTGTCCAAATGCATGCATGGCCTAGAAATGCTTCAAGTAGATGTATCTTTGCCAAGCGGACGGAGAGAAAAGCTGGAGGCGCACCAGTCCTCCCAAGTAGGGGATCTGAGACTTCTCGCACAGCAAGCTTTTGGCCAAGGATTCCTCACGCTTGTCACGTTACAGGGGCGCGTCCTCGGTGACTTGGAACCGCTGCATGCAGTTGGGAACGAGCTCACTGCCGTTGTGCGAGACGTGAAGATGGCATCCTCTGGGAAAGCCTTTGCTTTGTGGTGTCGAGGTGACGTGGTCACATGGGGCGATCCTGAGGCAGGTGGTGATAGTTCTCAGGTGCAAGACCAATTCCAGAATCTGCAAGAGATCTCGGCCTCATTTGGTGCTTTTGCTGCAATACAGGATGGATCTGTGGTAACATGGGGCCATCCAGATTGCGGCGGTGACAGCTCAGTGAAAGATCGGCTTAGGAACGTGCAGCAGGTGCAGTGCACGGGTGCCTTCGCTGTCTTGGCAGATGGCTCGGTGGCGTGGGGTGATCCCACTTCCGGCGGCGACAGCTCGGTTCGAGAGCTGAGAGAGGTTCGACAGATTCGGGGCACGGCCGGCGCATTGGC